CACCCAACGTGGAGCCTGACATGGGGCTCGATCTCATGACCCTGAGACCATGACCTGAGCCGAAATCAAGAGTCGGACCCTTACCTGACTGAGCCACCCAGGTGCCCCTACAATTCCATGTAACCTCTGCCACCAGGATTTCAATGCCCTACGGTAAAAAGTCTTGTTTGGGGCACTTCCCTGATGACGTTACGCTGAGGGGTCCCCCCGGGGAGGCGGTCCCAGCAGATTCGCACGCCTGCACCGGCCACCGACACCACACGGGGTCCAAGGCCCAGCCTCAGTCGTCGCGTCTCCGGGCATCACCTGGTTCTCTAAGGACTGAGAAATTCCCCCAACCATCAGACGGGCATCACTCGCCCTTAAACCACCCACCACACTCCAACAGGCCCCACACCTACGCAGCCTCCTCATGTTCTAGAGGACACGTTCTCCAGCCCTCACGAGCCCTTCGCCCTCCGTACGCAACCACACGCGTGTCTGCCGCCTTCCACGGAGCCAGGCCCAGCGGTGCCCTCTGCAGCTGCCCAGCACGCAGGCCAGCCCCCTCACCGGTAGTCCCCCAGCTCTGCGTTCCCACGCAGGTCCTTGGCACAGCGGACTACGCCCCCTGGAGTCTCTGGAGCAGCCACGAGACCACCTGGCTTCCCACGGGCTTGCGGCCTAAGCGCCCTCCCCCAGCCCCATATGCGCCCCCCGAGCACCAGCTTCCGGAATCCTACTGGGCTCTTTGAGGGACCAAGGCCCTACCCGGCGCCCACCCAGTACTGCCCCGAGAACAAGCTCTCGTACTGGCTGAGGTTAGAGACGCCGGCCCGCAGAAGCTTGGCACAGCCCCTGAGGCCCCCTTGTGGAGGGGGGCCTTCGGGAGAGGGCTGACCTGGCGTCCAAGGCCTTTCCCTTGCCCGAGAGCCCTGAGGAAGTGAGACGGACACCCTGCTTCCTCCTGCTGCCGCCGCCCCCTGGGGGAGCCCCTCGGCCGTCTGTGGCGGACAGGAGTCTTCTTCACCGATGGCGGTACCACGGTCCGTCACACCAAGCAGCTCCGGGGGGCCGTGGCAGCCTCTAGTCCTGGAGGGGGCTCCGGCCCAGCGAGTGGGCGGAACTTGCAGCTGTTGGCCTCGCCCTTGAGGAGGTGGCGACACGGGGCCTTCTGCAGGTCCACACTGTCCCCGACTCCTGGGCTTTGGCTAACGACCTTGCGGTTTGGTCTGACCAACAGCCAAGGGACAGTTTTCTCCCCAGAGGGCAAGTGCATCTGGGGCACCCACACGGGGAAGGACTGAGCAGAGGCCCCACTTCCCATCACAGTCACACACACTAACCGTCCACCCGAGGCCACTCTCAGCCATACCTCGGACCCCCTCGCTCCAGCCAACACCCACCCTTCCCAGCCGCTGGTGAGGGGCCCACCCAAGCTCAGGTGGCAGGGGGATTCGTGCCTGAACAAGCCGGGCTCGGGCTCTGGACTCTTTCTCTCCACAGCTGCAGCCAAGCTTGGGACACACAAGTGCATTCTCTGCTCCCCAACGAGACCATGGATACCATGCGGCTGGGTACACAGCCCTGGGGAGACCCACCGCACGCCTGCCGACAGACGGACTTTCCTTGGCCCCTGGCGCCCTCTGCTGGGCCTTCCAGATAGGCCCGCGCCATCACCGATGCTTCCCCGGAGACTCCCCTCTGGGACCCTCACCCAGAGCTCCTCCTCAAAGCAGGGCGTCTCCTTCCTTGTTAGCCACCTGACAGGGCAGACTCTGACCAGGGTGCCCATCTACCTGTCCGGAGACTCAGCAGTGGACTCTCCAACACAGTGCTCCTGGGAACTCACATTTGGCTACCACCCCCAGGCGGCTGGCTCCTTCAAGAGACTCCCCTTCGGTTCCTTTCAGGCAAGTGACCCCTGAAACGGATCAAAGTCTTGCCCAGACCCTCCTCTTGCTTGCTTCTTGCCCCCCCGGAACTTCACGCCCCACATACCCCACTCACCAATTGTTTCAGAGACCCCCCCCAACGAATTCCACTTTTTGTCATCTCTGGCAATCCTCAAGCTCCCACCCTCCAGGATAGTGTCCTTTTTACTTTATCCTGATTCCACCCCTCGCTTCTGTAGGATTTTCCCAGCAGCGCACCATCTACTCCACACTGGTGAGCTCATCGGGGCCGACAGCCCAATGTGAGGCCCCCCATCCCTTATTCCCCTCCCCTCCCAGGTCAGGAGCCCATCGAGTTAGTGGGAGATCACTTCCTTGGGAGGCCTGACCATGGTGGGGACACTCCAAAAGGAGCCACCTCCCTGCCGGCTGCTCTCCCCAAATATAGTGGCAGTGAGGGCTGGTTCATGCCGCTAAAATCCCTGCTGGGTTCCAGGCAGTAGAAACCCTCTCCCGGGGACCCACAGGGGCATGGTTTGGGTATCCAAGAGGGAGAGAAACGCTCTGCTTGGGAGACATGAGCCATACTCAGGAGTGAGAGCACCACGTGAAAGCTGCAAGGCATGGCCTTCCCCCCACTAGACGAGATAATCCACCTCAGCTGCTGAGAGCTCTGTACCCAGCAGTCAGTCAACAAACAGCTGGGCCCTGGGGAACCGACCCAGCTCGTCCAACGCTGCGCTCTACGGCTGTGGCTGATCTTCAGGCCGTGTACGGCCTGGGGGTTAGGGTTACTGGTAGACCCCTGGGCTTCACCCTCACACCGACATAATGCTGGGAAAGTACCGCTCCAGCCCGTGATTGCATGACAGGATGGAAAAGCCGGGAACATTGGAGAGCCCAGTTGGTGGGGCTCAGGCCAGCATGCCATGCATGTGGGTGGCAAAGGGCCTGAATCTCTTTTTGGACAGTGTCCCCTTGCAAGCCATGTCTAAAGGATATTCACGAGCCCCCCCCCCCCGTCCCATTTCTGCACAGCACGTGGGGCTGCAAGCTAACTGGCCATAATACCGTGTGTCAGAGACCTTGCCGACAGCCCAAGATGTTAAGGTAGTCCACAATACTGCCTACATCTTTGAAGAGACTCCCAGGGCCTCGGAGATCACCAAGCTACTTTCACAGCTGGACTCGCAGTTTGGGGCCGTGGCTACGTGCTGGATTTCAGACTAGTGCCTGCGTAATCATTACAGGATTTGCTACTATAATCTTAATTCGATGTGTAATTCCTTGGTAAAACGTGCTCTACCTGACTTTTAAGCCACCTGCTACGGATGCTGCTCATGTCGTCCCCAGGGGCTCCCGGGCCTCGCAGCACAGACTGACCACGGGTTCGGTTGTAGGCCAGCGTCTTACTAGACTTGCTGATCTCCAGGGCATCCGCTTCCAGAACGGTTATCTCAAATAAACCCGCCGCCAGACTCTCTAGATGAGAAGCCAGGCTGCCCCACACCCCCAGTTTCCTTTGTTTTAGAGATCTCTGGTGGACTTGAAGAGCTCACCCTTCGACTTCATTTTTCCCTTCCGGGGCTTGCATTCCCACACTTGTTTTAAATTCACCATAAAGAGGGGGTCCTTGAAATGCCGGGCCCTGGCACCACCGGTGAGTTCCCATGGGATGTGGGAAATCCTGGGGTGAGCTCCCCGCTCTGCGAAGCAAGCCCTCCTCACAGAGTAACGACTCTTGCCCCACCAAGCCCACGATCCAGATGCGAGAGGAGAGGCCAGGGCCCGACAGGTGGTCTCCAACGGCAGGGCATCCCAGGTGCCCCGGGGGAGTGCAGAGCAGGGGGCGCACCTGTTCCTGGTTGCGGCAAAGGAGGCCTGCTGCAATTCGCAGGTGCCCAGAACGCCAGACTGGGGGAGGCAGCTCAGCCTGCCGGTCATCGTCCTTGATTTCCTTTGACCGCACAGACTGAGCCGGGCCCCTGGTAGCGCTCCCGCTGTCCTGCCCCAGGGCTGTGGGCCGGAGGACTCGGCCTCCCCATCCGCGAAGGGCAGGACCCCGGAGGCCACCGGTTAGGGTAACTGCGTCCACGTAGCCCAGTTCCCTGGGGTCCCAGCACATGGCCCCTGCCCGCCGCGGCCTCTCTCATCCGCACATTCTCTCGGGCTTTGCTGCGTGGCCTCATCTCCCGAGCCTTCCCGTGGAACAGCCAGCCCCTGGGCCTTCTGCCTTACGGGGCGCATTCCCCCTCCGGTGCCTACTTCTGCACCTTCTAACCCCTGTCCCCACCCCCCCGGACACACATTTCTGCCTCATCCACTGTGGCCCACGGCTGCTTTCCGGGCTTCTGGGAGCCATCCTGGCAGCCCGGGGCGCCGTCCCCCGGGGGCCTGGCCAGGGGCCCAAAGCTGTACCCCGGAGGAGTGCTCCCGAATCACTGCAGTCTCCCTCCTCCAGGGCGAGGTTCTGCCGCCCTTGACCCAGCCCCCACGGCCCTGCAGCACTTGCCAGCTGCGTCCTAGCGCACCTTTGGGGTACAGGTTCCGTCATCACTTACCAGACCTGCCACAGCATCATGGCCAGAAGGGGAGGTGGGGCTGACACCGGGAGCCTACTGCCCTGCAGGGCCCTGACCTCCCGGCAGGCCTGTGTCGGCTGAGGTCAGCCTCAGAACCGGGCTGCGCTGTGAGTCAGTCCTGGCCCCGGGAAGGGAGCGCGCCCTCCGAGCTCCCAACAAGGCACACCGGCTTTCACAGCAACCTTCTAATTGCCTGAGAATCGCTCTCAGCTTTTTCTTTTCTTTCCCCAAAAACTTAATTGGGCTTAGCAACAGCCACGCCATTTCACGGTCCTTATGGTTTCGCCCTCCCGCCAGGTTTTTCAAACTCCTGATATAGGGACCCCCCTGGTGAATTATCTTCCACCAGAATACTGCCCAATTCGTCAACGGTAAACATTTTAACAACTTGTTTGTTACCTTGTGCTGGGGCAGAGGCCAGGGGTCCTCACTGCCACTCAGCAGCCCCTGGTCCAGCTCCAGAACCCCACCCTGCACCTGCTTCCGGAGCCCATTCCTAGCTGAAGCTCCGCATAAAGGAAGCTTATCAGAGGGTGCTGCCTACCTGGTCCAGGAAGGACGGGACGCAGCGCTGGGCACAGGGACAAGGTGGGCTTCACCACTACCCTCACTGTAGGTGAAGAGATCGGGCCTTTACAAACCCCCTGACCAATCAGGGCTGTTGGCTGCCCAGAAAGGAGGCATGGCCTTGCTCTCGATGATTCTCTTCAGCTGAGGAAATCCCTAGAGAGGCCTGAGAGCGGAGGGCGGCCTGCCGACAACTTCCACTCCTAGCACTTGGGGTGTCCACAGTCCCTATATAAGCCGTCCCAGGATCCAGCAGGCTGTGGGTTCCAATGCGGGCTGATGGGTGGCCAGTGACTAGTGTGACACTGTCCCGATGTGAATGGAGAACATTCTCGTCTGATCAATTCAGACGTTTCAGTTAGGTAGGAAGCAAGTTCACCTGCGTCCGGGCAGAGAGAAGGTGGGGAGCATGCATCGTGTCAAACATACCTATTGGAATAAGAAAACGCAGCAGCGGATCCCGTCCTCCAGAGGCTCTGTTTGCAGACGGGGACCGACTCCTAGTTCAACCGTGGAGTGTTTGCTTAATTGTACTTAACTGATTGTAAAAATGTATATTTGGAACGTGGATATGTAAATCAACATTTTCAATTGTAATTTTTATGAACCTTAACGCGGATCAAGTATTCCTTTTGAAAATTTAGCATCTTACTTGAGATGTGCTGTAGATGCAAGTTACACACTGGATTTCAGAGACCACATATGAGAAAAAGAATGTAAAATATACCATTAATAATTTTAAAACATTGATTACATGCGGAAATGATAATATGTGCATATACTGGCTTAAATAAAATATAGTAATGAAATCAAATCACCTATTTCTTTTCACTTTTTTAGTAAGGCTACCAGGTAATGCACAATCACTTATTTGGCTCACCTTCTATTTTGCACCAAATGAGTCAGAAGGAAGTCGGAGGCAAGGCACAGCCATGCGGTTCTCAAACTGGCCACTAGGTGGCAGCCTTAACCCAGGATTGCGATTTTCAAGCTCCAGGAGGCAGCCTCCCCCAAGATCAATCTTCAGGGAAATCTAGAGGAAAATACGGAGATAGAAAAGTGGGAGAAAGACTTGGGAGAGGAAAGGACGTTCTGAACCGCGGGTTGTGTGTGGCCACGGCTGTGACCAATGGCAGGAGGCTGTGGGCTCCGCTCTGGGAGAATAAAGTAGAGGTGCATTGTCCGAATTCTGTCTGTTCCTTCCCCAACTCCAGTGCTTTGGGGCAGTGGGTACCTGCCCCGGGCCCACCTATGACAGCTAGTGCAGATGTCCTTGGATAAATGGGTCGTGCAGAAACTCTGTGCTGGTGAGGAGCTGAGGAGGACAGAAAGACCACCTCCATGGCCCCCCTCAACCCCCTCTGGGGGCAGCTGCTCCTTGGGGACCGAGCACCAGCGTAGCCCAGAGCAGCCTCCTGGTAGGAAGGGCAGAGATGAGCTGTGCTTGTGTACCTGGGGCTCATCCACTGCTTCTGGGTCCTAAGCTCAAGGGACTGACCCCTACCAGCAGCTTTGGCGTCTCCCCATGTGTGTGGGAGGACCCGGTTCTCCATGCCCCATTCTCCGAAACAATGAGAATTCTGAGGACCTCAGCTCCTTCAAAAGATATCCACAAACGGGAATTACAGATTCCACTGGAAACAGATATGAGGGGGGAAAAAATGGACCGAGACTTAAAATAGGCCTAAACACCATACTAAACAAGGTAAGATCATTTGCCAGCAATACCAAATTAGAACAAGACACTAGAAAAAGAAGAGCCAGGTAGAAATGATAGGCATGAAAACCACAGTGATTGAAGAACATAATAGAAGGCTCAATAGAAGTAAGACAGTTGAGAAATTGTGGGGCGCCTGGGTGACTCAGTCGCTTAAGTGTCTGACTCTTGATTTTGGCTCAGGTCATGATCTCAGGGTCGTGGGATCGAGCTTTGCGTGGGGCTATCCATGCTGGGCGTGGAGCCTGCCTAAGATTCTCTCTCTCCCACTGCCTCTCCCCCAATGCCCCCCCATCCCCCGCACTAAATAAATAAATAAATAATCAGTTTTTTAAAAAGAAATTGACGGGTTAGAAGGTAGGTTAAGAAACTCTCTTGGAAGAAACAGCAAATGAAAAGAAATAGGGAGGCTAGAAGAGGAAATGCCCCAGTGCCTAGAAAACAGGGGTCCCAGAAAACGAGATGAAGAAAAAGCAGAAACGGATACAACTCTCTGGGCGAAGAAACTATGGAGATAGATTCCTCAGGTTGAAGGAAAAATAAAAAAAAAACTTAGATTGGAAAAACTCAAGGGTGCAACCGTAGGATTCCATTTGTATGAAGTTCCAAACGGGCAGAGCCAACCCACGTCACTGAGGTGGGCGTGGGGACTCTGCTGGGGCCGCGGAGGGGGCGTTGGAGGCTCGGTGCTGTTTCCTGGTCTGGTTGCTGTGTGAATGTGTGCTCAGAAAAATTCATCGAACTGGGGCGCCTGGCTGGCTCCGTCGGAGGAATGCGTGATTCCTGATCTTGGGGTCAAGAGTTTGAGCCCCATGTTGAGGGGTAGATTGTACTTAAAGTTAAAAAAAAAAAAGTTAATCAAACTATAAACAATTTGTGCTTTTTCTTTTATTATGTCATTCTTTGGTAAAAAGCTCACCAAAGCAGGAGAGAACACACTGCCATATAGCTCATGAGTGGAAGAAATCATGATGAAAATAGAAAAACTTAGGACGATATATTATATATCAAAATTTATGGGCTGCAATGAAAACAGTGCTTTGAGGGAAATTTAAAGCCTGAAATATTTATATTCGGAAAGAGGAAAGGCAGAAAAATGAATGAGCCAAAGAGCCAAACTAAGATGTTAGAAAATCACAAATAATAAACACAAAGAAATTAGGAGGTTAGTGTTACCCTGATACCAAAAGCAGATGAAACACTACAAAAAAGAGAATTGTAGACCAGTATGTCTCATGAATATAGAGGCGAAAGTTCTCCATAAAATACTAGCAAACCAAATCCACCGGCATACTCAAAAGATTATACAACCTGGCCAAGTGGGATTTATCCCAAGCTCGAAAGGGTTTGGAATAAGAACATAAGAACATAAGAAATGGACCAGTGGAATATACAATGTTAACAGAATGAAGAAAAACCCATATAACGATCTCAACTGACACAGAAAAAAACCTTTGACCAAATTTAACATCCTTTCATGATAAAAAGCACACAGAAAACTAAGAATACAAAAGAACTTGCTGGATGCTAAGGGGCATTGATGAAAAACACACACAGGTAATGCTGTATCCAATAGTGAAGGATTGAAAGCTTTCCCCCTAAGATCAGGAAGGAACAAGACAAAGATGCCTGCTTTCACCATTGCTGGCAAATATTGTACTGGAAATTGTGGCCAAAACAATTTAGACAAGGAAAAGAATAAAAGTCATTAAAATTGGAAAGGAAAAAGTACAGCTATCTCTATTTGCACATATCATGATCCTACATATAGAAAAATCCCAAAGAATCAACAAGTGAGCGATTCAAGCTAATAACTTCAGGAGAGTTGCAAGGTGCAAAAACAATACACCACAACATCAGTTGAGGTTCTATATACCTGTACCCTATAATACACATGAAAAGGAAATTAAGAAAGCTATTCCAGGGGTGCTGGGTGGCTCAGTTGGTTAAGCATCCGACTCTTGGCTTCGGCTCAGGTCATGATCTCAAGGTCGTGAGATCGAGCCCTACATGGGGCTCTGTGCTCAGTGTGAAGTCTGCTTGAGATTCTCTCTCTCCCTCTCCTTCTGCCCCTTCCCCCGCTCTCTCTCTTTCTATCTCTCTCAAATAAACTTTTTTTTTTTAAAAGCTATTCCATTAACAGTACCATTGAATTAATGAAATAGTACATATTTAAAGCAATTCTTTGCAAAATAGGATAAGGGCTAATAATTTTTTTAAAAAGGGAAAATAACTACAGCTGGCAAGGATGGGGAGCAATTGGAACCCTCATGCATCACTGGTGGGAAAGCAAATGGTGCATCTGTTGTGGAACACAGCCTAGAGTAGCCGGTGTCCATGTGCAGAGAGCTGCAGAAGAAAGGCCTCACCTGGGGGACAGGTGTGTGGAGGGCAGGAGCCGGGCCGCACCTTGCAGGGGGAGACCCCGCTGGCGCCGGCGCAGATCATCACATCGGTGGTCTTGCTGCCCCGGAACTTCTGGCCCTCGGCGTTGGACAGGAGGGGCAGGGCCGCCGGCTGCAGCTTGTCGGGGGTCTTGTTGGCTGCAGGGACACAGCAGGCCGGCGGGGGTCAGGGCCCCTCCCCCGCCCGCCCGCCCCACGGCGGAAGCGCTTGGGACGCTGGAGGAGGGGCCGCCGCCGGGGAAGGGGACACCCGGCCGACCCGGGCCCCGAACCACAGCTGGCCGTCGGACTCCCAGCCCGGACCCCGGGGCCAGCGGAGCACGGCCGCCGGCCCCCAGTCCGGGGAGGAGTCCGGCCTGGAAAGGGGGCAACGTGGACCTGGCTGCAAGTTCGTGAGGGCGATGCTTGCTGGTACGTAGGTGTTTCTCGGCAAGTTCGTCTTCAAGTACAGAGCGCTTAAGCTCTTTTTTTTTTTTTTTTTTAAGATTTTATCTATTTATTTGAGAGAGAGCAAAGCAGGGGGAGCAGAGGCAGAGGGAGAAGCAGGCTCTCCACTGAGCAGGGAGCCCGACACAGGGCCCAACCCCAGAACCCCGGGATCATGACCCAAGCAGAAGGCAGACGCTTAACCGACTGAGCCATCCAGGTTCCCCAAGAGGGTTTTGAATAAAGAAATGGAAAGATTTATGGCTGTGTTGCAATTTAGACAAGAAAAAAAAAAGCCACAGGGGTGCCCCCCTGGAGACTCCCGCTACTCAGGCAGCCCCAAGCACAGACACATCTCCTGGGGGGAAATGCCAGGTCCTGCTCACCGTTGTACTTGGTCCTTCCCCAGCCGGTGGTGACACACAGCAAACCAGGGGGGAATTCGTCTGTCGCCTTGGGCAGGCACACGGGGTACACGGTCTGGGAGAAGCGGGCAGGCGTGGCCAACTTCAGCAGGGTGATGTCATTTTGGACGGTCAGCATGTTGAACTTGGGGTTCTTGAAAACCTATAGGGCAGAGCCAGAACAACAAAATCAAGCCCTCGGATTCGCTGGCAATCTGCAGGTTGCAAAGAGATAAGCTCTTTCTCTGGCAGCCCGTGGAAGAAACAGACCCACAGGAGCCCGGAATGAGAATTCAGAGGGCAGTCCCATCCACCCCTGGGCTCCTGTGTCTCAAGCAGCCCAAGGGTCTTGTCCTTCCTGCTCCTGCCCCGAGCCCCTAGGCTGAGCCCCCCAGGCCAGTGGGACAGGGCTCAGGGATACCTTGGCAATCGTCAGGACCTGGATGTTCTCCTCATCTGAGCGCTGGTTAAACTCCCCAGTCATGACCAGGTGAGACGTGCTAGAGGAATCACGTGGAAGTTAAGGACTAGGAGTGGGCCCTGCTCCCTCCTCACCCCGAAACGTAGCCAGAAGCAGAGCCCTGAGCCTGCCCAGGCCTCACCTGACCCTGCAGTGGGCGGCAGTGACCACCCAGTCCTCGCTGATGAGGGAGCCCCTGTAGAAGTGGAAGCCAGTGCTGTCCTGGAGGAAGACAGACAGGTCAGTGCTGGCTGGACACCAGCAGCCCCCAACCTGGCCCCGGGTAGGCCAATAGCCCAGTGTGTCCTCCACTCAGGGGCAGAATTCCCCCCTCCCCTGCAGGGACACCTGCCAGGGCCAGGAGCCCAGGACAGCGTCCTCCCCATTGACGATCCTGGACAGGCCACTCAGCACGGGATGGATGGTGGGGACCCCGCAGTCTGGTCGGGGGGGCAGGAGGAGGGGGAAGAAGGCTGAGGCCCAGGGCCAATCTGCAAAACTAGTTTCTTCCAGGCCCGCGCAGGACCCCACACCACCCTCCTACCACCCCCAGGCAACTTCTGCTGCAGTCCTCAACCTGTAGGCATGAGGATCCCCACATGCAGCCTGCTAACCCTACTCATGCTGCCATGTTCAGGGCTTTCCTGATGAAGGAGCAGAAAACAGGCTGAGAAATCAGACTGGACTCCCAGCCTTCTTGCTGTGAGAACTCAGAGTGTCCCTGAATCTCCACTGCTCATTTACCTCAGTACACTCATTTACCTCAGTACTCAGCAAACAAGGCTCCCCTCTCAGGTCAAAACTCACCTGTTGGATGGGAGGAGTGAGATTAAAATTGGCTAATCCCAAGCGCACAGGGAATCTGGAACTAGGACGCCTTGCCCAGGCGGGTAGGAAATGGTACATTCCACCCTTGTGCCCTCGCTGAATTTTCTTTTCCAGAGATTTCAGGAACTATTCATGCATAAAGTTTATGTTTCTTAATTATTTTATTAAATAAAATAATTTGGTTCTGCCCCATACATGGGCACATGGGGAAAACAGAAAACGAGGGCTTGAGTCGTCCCAGACGCTGAGAAAAAAACAAGTGTACTTAATATGTCCGTGAGGACCTGGGGGTATTCTCGGCACCTGCGCAAGTCAAGTTAGGCTCCTGCAGCCGTCACCGCACCCCCCTGGGTAACACAGGCTAGTGCCTGCCCTGCTGCCCCTGGGTAACCCAACGCAGAGCATTCTTGCCAGAACATGTCAGCATACTAATCGCTTTCTTTGTAACAGCAAAAACAGAACTATCCCAGGATGAATTTATACAGCTGACTACAGTGATTACAGCGATGGGGCTCCGCACCAACGGGGATAAATCTAAAACATTACATGGGCGGCAAAAGGTACTTTATTATTTTATTTTTATTTTTATTTTTTTTGACAGAGACACAGCGAGAGAGGGAACACAAGCAGGGGGAGAGGGAGAAGCAGGCTTCCCGAGGAGCAGGGAGCCCAATGTGGGGCTCAATCCCAGGACCCCGGGAACACGACCCGAGCCGAAGGCAGACGCCCAACGACTGAGCCACCCAAGCGCCCCGGCACTTTATTTTTTTTAAAGTAAGCTCCGTGCCCAGCCTGAGGCTTGAACTCTCCACCCTGAGATCAAGAGTCGCAAGCTCCACCGACTGAGGCAGCCAGGTGCCCCGGGCACGTTTTAAAATTGATGTAGCGTATAATACTGTGTGTGGAAGTTTGTACGCATTTTGTATGGTATCTGTGGATTTCTAAGTATGTAGTAAATTGGTAAAAGCCCGCCCAGAAATGAGGCACAGCAAGCTCGGAATCGGGCTCACATTCCATGAGGGTCAGAGGGAGAGTGTGGCTTGAGCTGAATCTAGTTTATGTTTTATTTTATTTTTTTTTAAGATTTTTTTTTTTTATTTATTCATTCGAGACATACAGAGAGAGAGAGAGAACGTGAGCAGGGGGAGAAGCAGAGGGAGGGGGAGACCAGGCCCCCTGCTGAGCAGGAGCCCGATGCGATGCAGGGCTTGATCCCAGGACCCCGGGACCACAACCTGAGCCAAAGGCAGATGCTTAACCATCTGAGCCACCCAGGCACCCCTAGTTTATGTTTTAAAAAGAAATCCCTGAAGCAAGTCAGCAAAAAAAAAGTAATATTTGCAAAACCCTGATGGTAGGTACGTGGTTGTCATATTATTTCCTGTAGTTTTTACCATTTCTTCTTTTTTAATGGAAAATAAAGGACTTCACAAGTGCCTGGCACAATAAATAAAAATCTGAGGACGGGCACTGAGAGTCTCCTGCGACCGCTCCCCTCCTCTGCTCACAGTACCCCTGCCCGAGCCAGGCCTGGGGCCCCGGGACTCAGCGGGGCCCAGACTGGTCTCTGGCACCCTCCTGGCTCAGAGTCCAAGTGCTCAGAGAGCCCCAGAAGGACCCCTGTGCTCCCTACTGCCTCAGCTTGCCAGTCTGGGGAGAGGCCGCTGCGTGCAGGGAACGGGGTTCCAAACTCCTTCTTGGCTGGGCCCCAGGGCTCGCTCTGGACAGAGCCCCTCGTGCTCCTTCCCTGGGGCTGGATGCAGAGCCACTGGGGGCTCGGGACCCCTCTTCAGCCTGCTCCAGGCCTGGCAGGCCCACCCCTGGGGTCCCGACACTCACAACCGAAGGCAGCCTCCACAAGGGCGAAGCAGGAGAGAAGCCAGAGAAAGGCCATGTTGCTGCTCTCAGGAAGATATGGGACAACCATGCTGGGGGCCCTGCTTTTAAGTCTCCTGGGCCACCCCAAGCCCTGCCCAGCCCCTCTGGCCCTGTCCAGCTGGAGAAGCCTGAGGGCCACCCTCCCTGTTATCCAAAGACCTTGAACGGTAAGTGGGGGTCAAGCCCCTCAAACAGCCAGGGCTGGCTCTCAGCCTGGGATGCCTCAGCCCCTGGGAAAAGGGCAGCTGCTCTGAGGTCTCGTCACCCCTGAGACTTGGCAATGCTTGGCATCCCAAAGGCTCTGTGACAGGCGACGCCGGCGCCCCAGCCCGGAGCCAGGGCCCTGGAGAGCGCAGCTCTGTGCAGCCTGTAGCCAGTCCCTGGAACCAGCCGCTGCCAGGGCAATGGGGAGGAATCCCAGCTCCTAATCATAGGCAATCCCACCATGGGATTCAAAGAACCCCGGCTGTGGTCGCCGGGAGGCCTCCAGTACACTGAACGTAGGCGGCGGGGGCTCAGCAAAGCGTATTTTCAGTGCAAGATCATCTACAAGTGTTCTACAGATGTTCTGGGTCACTTGCTCTCTCTGTGTCAAATAAATAAAAATCTTTTTTAAAAAATTTAAAAAGATAAATTCACCTCAATCACCCAATTTTGAGTGTGCCGCCTGTTGTCCAGCAAGACCGTGACTGATAGAGTGGCTGTGTCCCTGGGCCCACTGAACATGGGATTCTGGGAAAGCGATGCTCACAGACTGGAGAAGTCCATGGAGAACCTCTTTGTCAGGGAAGAGGAGACCCCGGTGGCCCACGGGGTGATGCTATGGCATCACCAGTTAACACTGGCGGTGGCAGAGGCTGAAGGGCAGGTGGAAACAGGCCCTGGAGGGCAGGTAACTGTGGCACCGAGACCCTACGGGGTCAGCGGTGATGATAAATACTGGAGAGTTGAGTTGGACCAATGGTCCAGGAGCACACAAGAAGATGATAAAAACCACCAGTTATCTGGGAGATGCACATCGAAACCACAGTGAGATATAGCCCATACCCTTTAGGATGGCAAACAGAAGCCAAAACAAACAAACAAACAGAAAATAAGAATGAGAAATGATGGGCAGAAATGGGATCCCTTGCATAATGGCAGTTCCTCAAAAAATTAAAAACAGATTTACCCCATGATCGCGCAATTCCACTTCTGCATATACACCCAGAAGAATGAAAAGCAGATTCCCAAAGAGATATTTGTAGCAACATTCTTTATAGTATCTAAGACATGGGAGCAAGCCACATGTCTATCAACAGATGAACAGAGAAGCAAAATGTGGTCTACGTATAGAAGGGAATATTATTCAGCCTTAAAAAGGAAGGAAATCCCAACAGAGGCTACAACATGGACGAACCTGGAGGGTATCATGCTCAGTGAAAGAAGCCAGTCACAAAAAGGCAAACACTGTATGATCCCATTTATAGGAGGTCATTGGACAGCAAGTAGAATGATGGTTGCATGGCGCTGGTAGGGGAGACAATGGCGGGTTATAGTTTAATGGGTGCAGAGTTTCAGTGTAGCAAGATGAAGAGAGTTCTGGGCATGTTGGGGGTGGGTGTACAACACTGTGAATGCACTTACTACCACTGAGCTGTGCACGTGAAAATGGTTCAGATGGTAAATTTTATGTTATTTGCAGTTTACCACAATTTGAAAATTAAAAAAAACACACACGCAATGAGATACCACTTCACACCTACCATGATGACTATAATTTTTTAAAAGGGAAATAAGAGGCTTTGGCAAAGAATTGGAGAAACTGGAATCCTCGTACAATGCTGGACGGGATGGAAAATGGTGTAGTCTCTGTGGATATGTCCTACAACATGGATCAGCCTTGAAAGGATTATGCTCAAAGACAGAAGCCAGTCACAGTGGTCCATCTACTGCACGATTCCATTTCCATGAAACATCCATCATAGGCAAACCCATAGAGACAGGTATTAAATTCGAGGTTACCAGGGCTGGGGGAGAGGAGAATTGGAGTTATGGTTCAGTGGACACACTTGAAGTGATGAAAACGTTTTGGGAGTTGGGGGCATGGTTGTGCAACATCGGGAATGTAATTAATGCCGCTGAATTGTACACTTAAAAATGATGAAAATGACAAATTTCATATTATATATATTTTACCACAATTTTAAAAAACTAATGTAATAAACCAAAAACCATCGATTCATCCACTTTAAATGGGCGAATTATACAGTACATGATTTATACCGAAACGGCCACAGATGAGCCTGGAGCCTGATTTAGGGCTTGGAGACTTGCAGAATCTGACAAACACTCAACCCCATCAGGTAAGGAGCTGGTGGGGAAGCAGTGGGGTACTTTAGGTAGACAGAGCAAGGCTGGAGAACTCTGAACCCTCAAATCTCCGTGAACCCCCTCCTGCCAACACAGGTGCTCCCGTGCCCCCATCTGAGGGAGCCAGTCCCGCTCCGCACAAAAGCTCCGAGCCGACCTGGGGCTGCCGCCTTCTGAGACAAAGCCAGTTCTCCGCAGAACCTCCCCCGCCCATCCGCACCACTCCCTGGCCCATAACAAGAGTCCATCCTTCCCATTTCCCTGCACGCACACCTTGCACCCTCAAACTTTATATGGAAGGTGAGACACTGAAGATAGAAACGGACAAGAGCCAGACCAGAGAGAACAGAACTCTGACCCACCGTCTGCGGCAACCAGCCCAGCAAGCCAGCAGCAGCCCACCCTAGACAGCCACGACTTGATTCATAACTGACCGCTTTCCTCATCTTTGCCCCAGCTTCCAGCTTAGGACCGGCCCAGTATGCACCCCTAGCCATTCACCGGGGGTGCCCCCCTTCCCCGCGCCAACAGCCTGCGATCAGGGCACGCCTCCAGCCCGCCCTTTGTCCGCGACAAACCTTCCCCTCGCCCCTGCCTGCCTTGAGTCTGTGCCCGAGGCCAGTGAAGCTGCAGGACCCCCCCACCCCCGCTATGGATAGCAAGCTCTGAAGGAAGAGCCCCCCACTTTGGGCGGTTTTCACTGTCTTCCACGAAGGCCATGCTCCCGTGGGAGCCTCCCCCATGCGTGTTACCCTCCAGCGTGCAGCTAACGTCCCCTGCATCTCCCCACTGTTGTGAGCTCTGAGCTCGCGTCGCCCGATGGTTTCCCGAAGCCGCACCTTTAGGAGCGGTCTGCGCGAGCTGCCCTGTCTGAGGGGGGCTATTGGTTTCCCACGGGGGCCCCTGCAACTCCATCTCGTCTCAGCTGCACGAGCCTGTTTCAGGAACCGCTCAAAAGGGAGAAATGCTGCCGATGAAACTGAACAGAAGCTGAGCCCTGAGCCTGGTTTTCCAGCTCACCATCCTGACAACACTGAGCCTCTTAAGAAATTCATCCTTGCCTTAAGTACACAGAGTTTTCTGTTCTGCTGGTGACCGCTGACTTGCACAAAAAGTCAGGGCTTTTGAACTGTGGGACCCTGGGCTGTTCCATTTCAAATGCCTAAACCCTGAAGGAGTCAAGGCCTAAGAGTTGGGTCATTGACGAAAAGAAAAAAGATGTAAGAATCAGTTTCTGGGGCGCCTGGGTGGCTCAGTTGGTTAAGCGACTGCCTTCGGCTCAGGTCATGATCCTGGAGTCCCTGGATCGAGTCCCGCATCGGGCTCTCTGCTCAGCAGGGAGTCTGCTTCTCCCTCTCCCGCTCCCCCCTCTTGTGCTCTTTCTCTCTCTCACTCTCTCTCTCAAATAAATAAATAAAATCTTAAAAAAAAAAAAAAAAAGAATCAGTTTCTGTTTTTCCAACCTCAGAGTTAAACAGTTTCCCTGGTGTGGCAGTCGGTGCTGGGAGCTTACTAAAACCTCGTCCGCCATTCTTCCAAATTTTGTTTGAGGTAGAGAAGGTTCAGCTAAAATGCTTCCTTTCCGACCCCCCCACCCCCCTTGCAAATGGAGGTGGCCTGGAGACATAGCTCTGCTAATGAGATGTAAGCAGAAATCATTGGATGGGGGCTAACCAGGAAGATTTTTTTTTTTTAATGGGACAGATTCTGGTGGTCTTGCTTTTTGTCTTTTTCTCTCCCCCTTCTTTTCCTGCCTGAATGCAGCTGTGATGCACGGACATTCAGTAGCCATATCGGAGCCATGAGGAAAACGCCACAGGTTTTTGAACTGCCACATCAGCCTTGGACTATCTCCCTTTAGAATTCATGTTGAGGGGCACCTGGGTGGCTCAGTCGTTAAGCGACTGCCTTCGGCTCAGGTCATGGTCCCAGGGTCCTGGGATCAAGCCCCACATTGGGCTCCCTGTTCCACAGGAAGCCTGCCTCTCCCTCTCCCATTCCCCCTGCTTGTGTCCCCTCTCTCGCTGTGTCTCTCTCTGTCAAATAAATAAATAAAATCTTAAAAAAAAAAAGAAAAACCATCTGGCTGAGTGAAAAGAATCCAGATACAAAGACAACATACAGTACAGTTCCATTTATATCAATTTCTAGAACAGGCAAAACTAATCTGTGGTGAAAGAAATAGGAACAGTGGTTGCGGATTGCCTCAGAGGAGGGGTAGCTGGAAAGAGGCATGGGGGAACTTTCTGGAGTCATGGCATTATTTTATATCTTGGTTGTGGTGTTTGTTACACTATGGTGTGTGTGTGTGTGTGTATCTGTTCATCCCTCTGTTCACTTAACATCTGTGCATCTCATCACATGTAAATTATACTTCACTATATCTTATTTTTAATAAAAAGAGAGGGTTGGGGTTTGACTCCTGAGAGGCAGGCCTTCAAGAGGAAGGGACCCCCTCACCTAAGGAAACGGACATCTGAGTGCCGGCCTCAAGCAATACCAGTCTTAGACTTGTCAGTGGTGGAAGGACGCCCTCCCTCCAGGCCAGGCAGGACCCAGACACCCCCCACCCCACAACCTCCACCTGGGGCCAAATCCCAGGAGGTAGCTGCGCAGGGACTGGCTCAGGGCCTCAGGTCCCCGGCAAAGCACAGGCTGCCTGGGCAAGAGCGGTCCCCCTGCTGTTTGCTCCCAGCGCGCACACGGAGCTGGTCATCCCGAGTGCACTGCCTTGCGCCACCCCTTTTCCTGAACTGCTTCAGCAGTGCCCGCTAAACACACTAGCTGCTACACGCTTGCAACGAGCCGAGCAGCGCGGAGGTAAGCCTTTCTGAACGGCACACAACCCGCAAACCAGGCCATACCTTCTCCCTGGGAGTGTGCAAGAGCAGACACGGGTGCGCTCCAGGAGCGCGGGGGGCAGGGTTCCAAACCCACGCCGTCAACTTGATTGGCTGAACAACTGGGTCCAGAGATGCGTCGGCTCCTCCTGGGACCCTGACGACTGGCCGCTTGGCCGAGGCCTAACCGCGCGGGGCGGGGGCGCCCGGCGTCCGGGCCCAGGGGTCCTTCCTCTGGGTCTGGGGCGGCGGCGGGGCGGGCTGGAGGGCGCGGGCCCCGCCCCAGCGAGTTTCCGGCCCCGCCCCAGCGAGCTTCCGGCCCCGCGCCCCGCAGGAGCGGGCGCACGTGCGGCCCGCCCTCCCCGCCCTGCAGCTGCGCGCGTTCCCACACCTCCGCAGCCGGGGAGCCTGGGGCGCGGGGGGGCGGGGCCTCGGCGCGCGGTCGGCTCCCAGGCCGCGGCCCCGCCCCCGCCTGCCCGCCCCTCCCACCTGGGGTCCTGCCAGCCCTGCGGCCGCGGCCACCTGGCCGCCCGGGGCTGCCACTGCGGCTCCACAGGTGGAACGACGCGCCCGGCGGCCGCAGCCGCTCCCGACCGTGTCTCCACCAGGGCCCTCCTCGGTCGCCCCCCCGCCCCCGCGCTTTCTGCCCTGGCTTCCTGCCTTCCGGGCTCATCAGTGCCCTCTGCCTCCTGCGGGCGGCCTCCTGAGCATCACCCTTCGCTCTAGTTCCCGCCTCGGCCTGGACACAGCTCCCGGGCTGTGCTTGGCGCGCTCCGCTGCGCCCGAAACCTAAATGTCCCCTTCTGGGTGAGGCCCTCCTGCCTCGGTATTAATCACGATAACTCCTTAGCTGGTAGGAATGCACATTTTTTTTTTAACTCTTCTCACTAAATTCTCCCACTGCTTTCCCCCATGTACGCTTGCTAAAAGCAGGAGAAATTTCTTTTCCTTGGTTGCAGCCCACTATGGGCCTGGTTAGCTGGGCTGGAAAGAATGAATGGGCTTGCAGGGATAGCATGGTCTCACAGAAGGGGCCACCCTGGGGTGCCTGGGTGGCTGAGTCTGTTAAGCGTCTGTCTTCGGCTCAGGTCGTGATCCCAGGGTCCTGGGATCGAGCCCCGCATCGGGCTCCCCGCTCAGTGGGGATCCTGCTTCTCCCTCTCCCTCTGCTGCTCCCCCTGCTTGTGCTCTCTCTCTCTGTGTCAAATAAATAAAATCTTTAAAAAAAAAAAAAAAGAAGGGGCCACCCTCTGCCTCCTGTTTTGGGCCCTGCTTTCCCACCTGATACAGTGTGGCCACCCCGCATTGTCATCGGACAGTCTGCTAGAATGTGGAAAGGGCACCGATAGGAATTTCAGGAAGGAGTACGGAGGACCAGCCAGCACGGATTGTGTGTTAGGCCTGGTCCCAGCTCGGGATGGGTCATGCCCTTTCATCATGTGGGATCCATACTACAAGCATCCCCTTTTACATACTTAGAAACAAAACCAGAGACAGCACTCAACCTGCCCCAGTCTGCACAGCTGTGTTGTGCTGAGATCTGTACTATGGAGCACGCTGCCATCAGTGCGATGGAAATTAAAAGCAGCCATGAGATACCATTTTTCCTTGTGTGTTTTGTGGGGCTCATTCTGTGCCTGGCAGCCTCACTCTCAAGTGCTGAGAAAGGGCCCCACTGTCCACCCTGTCGCCCAAGCCAGAAGCCGGCCTCCTTGCCTGCCCCCGGCCCAAACCCCATTTCCTGCCTGATCGAGCCGGCAGCAGCTCTCACTGAGGCCATGGTTCCAGGATGCCACACACTCGATTCCAGGGGCCTATGGCGCCTCGGTGAAAAGACCTGGCCTCGTGTGAACAGGCAGCGCGCGGCTTGCCCCTCTGAGCCATGCTGCACATAGCCCAAGTGACCGCCCCAGATACTGAATGGAACCTTCACGGAGACTGCTTGGCCATCCCCAAGACCAGGGGAACATCCTCAGCCCTGGCCACCAGCACCTTGGTCCCCACACCTCCTTCCTCCTTGACCACACTGCCCAGGGCTTTAGAATAACTAACGGACCAAGTAAATTACTTGTCCAAGGTTCTCCTGCCCATGGGAGAATAGGCTGGGGCTCAAACCCTGCCCAGGCCAGGCTGGTGTCCAGAAGTCCCTTCCTGGAAGAGGAAGCCCAAGTTTTCTGAGCCCTTCCCCATGGCTATCTTGTTTGGCCCCACCTTTGCCCTTGACCCAGACCCAAGCTCGACCATGGGCCGCAGGTGCTGCCATCCCATGCCCCGATGCTAGCCCTGCTCTGGCACATTCTATGTCCTCGGGCACATGCCCAAGAAAGGGATTGTCACCTCAAGGTTGGCAGATAACAGCTTGGTGCCCAGGGATATAACGGGGAGCTCCCCAGACAGGCACCATACACCTCCCTGACCATGGCCTTCCTCTGGGTCCTCTCCTGTTGCGCCCTCCTGGGCACAGCCTTCGGTGAGTTCGGGGCAAACAGAAGCCAGAAGGGATGTCTCTGCTCCCCTTCAACCCCCGGGGCCAGAAGGGGCAACAGGGTCCCTGCTCCCCATTCAGGTGCACACGGTGGTGTGAGCCTGAGCAGGTCTCTCTCCCCCTCTGAGCCTCACCAGCCCCATCAGCACGATAGGGGTGCTGGGAGGATTGGACCAGACTAGCCAGTGCAAGGCCCCCAGCAGGAGGTGGGCCGTCCTGGGGCTGACTGAGGCCTTGCACACTGTGCAAGGGACAGGGAGGCCAACTCGAGGGAGCGAAAATTCTCTGAACAGCTAGTGGCTCCCAAACAAGTTCAGAGGGTGAGCAGGCGGGCAGGCGTGGCTGGACCACCACAACCCTTTGGGACCCTCGAACCCAGCACTTTTAAACTTGTGTTCACTGAGTCCTTGCTCTGTGCCAGGAAGAGAGCAAGTTCCTGCTTTGCCTGCTTAGTCTTCTTGCTGCTGCCTTTTTTTTTTTTTTAGGATTTATTTATTTATTTATTTGAGAGAGAGAGAGAGTTTGAGGGAGGGGAGGGGCAGAGGGAGAGGGAGAGAGAGAGAAGCAGACTACCCTCTGAGCGTAGAGCCAGACTTGGGGCCCGATCTCAGGACCCCAAGATCATGACCTGAACTGAAATCAAGTGTCGGACATTCAACCAACCGGGCCGCCCAGGCGGCCGATCCAAGTCTTCTTGGATCCTTATCCCAACTCTGTGAGGTTAGCAGCTATATGACCCTCTCTTTGCAGATGGGAAAACGCTCAGAATGGTAAGGCGAGGCAGTGGTGGGGCTGGGTTCACACCCCCAGAGCCCTGCCTCCATCTCGTGCTCTGGCCTGGCCACCACTTCGAAGCCAACCTGTTGGGCTTGTCTGGGCTGAAGCACACGTCAGACTGAGTTGTCCCTGGGGGTTCCTGGGAGATTGGGACCTGGGTGGGGAGGGCTTGGCCTCCATCCCTTACCTCGTACTCCCACCCCCAGGCTGCGGGGTTCCCACCATCCATCCCGTGCTGAATGGCCTGTCCAGGATCGTCAATGGGGAGGACGCTGTCCCGGGCTCCTGGCCTTGGCAGGTGTCCTTGCAGGTGAGGGGGGAATTCTGCCCCTGAGTGGAGGACACACGGGGGTATTGGCCCACCCGGGGCCAGGCTGGGGGCTGCTGGTGTCCAGCCAGCACTGACCTGTCTGTCTTCCTCCAGGACAGCACTGGCTTCCACTTCTGCGGGGGCTCCCTCATCAGCGAGAACTGGGTGGTCACTGCCGCCCACTGCGGGGTCAGGTGAGGACTCAGGGTCCCCAGGAAACCCCTTGGTCGGGGGGGAGACTCTCAGCACTGAGGGCTGGACCTTTAACTCCTCGTGCCTCAGTTTCCTTGTTTGGGAATGTGTAGAAAATCCAAGTCACGCTGGTCTCCCAAGGGTCACCAGGAAGGAAACACCCGGCAGGCTGTAGGTGCAGGTGTTTCGGGGGCGATTACTGATATTTTGCGCTCCCATCTCTGGATCAACAACTCTGAGCATATGCACAAAGATACACAGGCACACACATGCAGTCTGCACCCCCTCGCATGGCCCCACCACCTCACAGCAGGATCCTCCTTCTTTCTCGGGCCCTCTCCAGAACCTCCCACCTGGTCGTGGCTGGGGAGTTTGACCAGGGCTCCGATGCTGAGGACATCCAGGTGCTGAAGATTGCCAAGGTATGGTGGCCCTGGAGTCCAGGCTTGACCCCAGGGCGGCGGGGGGCAGGCCCTCAGGAGTGTGCCGCCCAGGCTAAGGCCTGAACACCCCCAGATGCTCCCGACCACCCCGGTACCCCATCAGGAGGGGGCAAAGCAGAAAGCAGGGTGTTCAAGGTCTGCACCGTGGTCCTGGGCCTAGCCTCGGGCTTCCAGGGCTGTAGAAGGAGCTGCCAAGTCGAACAGGCCATTGTGCAGACAGAAGCACTGGGGTGACCTGGGGTGGCCTGGTGTCCTGCTTCAGCCCCCCCGTCAACCCTCGGACCCCATCCGCCGCTGTCCACCCCACCCCGCAGGTTTTCAAGAACCCCAAGTTCAACATATTCACCGTCAACAACGACATCACCCTGCTGAAGTTGGCCACGCCCGCCCGCTTCTCGCAGACCGTGTCCCCCGTGTGCCTGCCTGCTGAGAATGACGACTTCCCTGCCGGGACCCTATGTGTCACCACGGGCTGGGGCCTGACCAAACACAGCAGTGAGCACCCTCCAGCCGGGTGGGTGGGAGGTGGGGGGCCGGGCCGTGCCTGCTGACTGCCCACCCTGCCCTTCCAGATGCCAACACCCCTGACAGGCTGCAGCAGGCGACCCTGCCCCTCCTGTCCAACGCCGAGTGCAAGACGTTCTGGGGCAACAAGATCAGCAATCTCATGATCTGCGCCGGGGCCAGTGGCGTGTCCTCCTGCATGGTATGGCCTCCTGGACTCACCCGGCGCCCCTTCCCTCCCAGCCTGGGGTGGGTTCCGGCAAAGTCCCGGGTCAGGGGCTTGGCGGGAGAGAGGAGATGGAAGGCACACGCAGGCCTCTTTGGAGGGCCTGACACTCTGTCCCTGAATTCCTGCTTGAGCAGTCGCGAAAATGCTTAGTTCTCCTGGCTGATCACCAGTGACCACAAAAGAGGGATGCCAGGACAGGGGGCTCTGATCTTGAAACTGCCCTACTGCAAAAGTCCGTTGAAATCAGGGTCTGAACGAATGTCCCCCTCCTCCCCCACTGGAGCAGTGCAAGGTACAGCCTGGGTAGTGGACTATGGCGCCCAGAAGTCTCCAGAAAGAGTCGGGCTCCACGGCCAGGCCAGCACCACCCATGCTTCCTTCCTATCAATCAAACCCGCTTTATTAGGCCTCTATCCGAGGGCCCCTGGTGATGGCCCAGCCTTACAGGGGCACAAACCACACAAGGAGCTACTGCAGCTTCTTTCATAATCCCTCCAGTATGCACCTGCCGGGTGTCTACGGGCTGCCAGATCCAAGCCCCTCTTTCTCCCTGCAGGGTGACTCTGGTGGCCCCCTGGTCTGCCAAAAGGACGGAGCCTGGACCCTGGTGGGCATCGTGTCCTGGGGCAGTGGGACCTGCTCTACCTCCAGTCCTGGCGTGTATGCCCGCGTCACCAAGCTCATGCCCTGGGTTCAGCAGATCCTGGCAGCCAACTGAGTCCCCAGCCCCACCCCGCTGTCCCTACTGACCTGCTCCCACAAAGCCTCAATAAACCAATAAAAGACACATTGATGATGTGCTCTCCTGTGTTGGGGCCCCTGAGACCTCATTCTGCTCCTGAACTTGCAACTTCACTGGGACGAATGGCAGGAGGTCCCTGGAGGGCCCTTTTTTAGTCTTGCTCCCAAGAGATGAAGTGGGATCTTGGCCCCCACCCCTCACTCCTTGCTCCCACCCTCGTAGGCAGCAGGGTCCTGGCCATCCAGGCCCTGCTCAAGGTGCTCAGGGCCCCCACCCCCGGGGAGTGGACAGCTGGGGGATGAGCCACCTGCTGGCCGCACACACCTGTGGTTCCAAGGAACCTTCCCAGGAGCAGCTCCCTAGGGCTGCGACTTTCCCAGGCCTGCACAGGAGTCAGGTGCTCCTCAGCCCAGGGACTCATGATAAGGAAGGGATGGCGAGGCCGGCTGTAATTGGTGGGCTAGGGGAATATAATGGGGGTCATTTGGGCAGCCCCATCCCACCTCCTGAGCCACACGCCATGGCCTTTCTTTGGGTTGTCCTTGGCTTTCTCCTCTTTGGTAGCAGCTCCAGTAAGCACAAGGTTCAGGCAGGCCTGGCAGCCCCAGACCAAGCCTCTCCCACCCCCGGCCCCCCGCACCCCCAGAAGCTGGGACCTGGAGGGCCAAGTCCTTGCACCTCTCATCACCCGCCCCAGCTGACCCCCTGCCGGCCCCGCTGGCTACCCCCCGCCAGCTTCTCTGGGTGCCTTTCCTGGGCTCCCCACTCCTCCTCCACCTAGAGGTCCCTCGGGCCCCTCGAACTCCACTGGTCATGCTGGACCTGCCTCGTCTTGGCCTCCTCCATCGGCTCAGAAGCAGGGGGTCGTCCGGGCTCCTCCAGCATCCACATGTGTCCCCGAGCCACAGGAATTCTGCCTCAGGAACGTCTTCCATGCCCGTCCTTTTGCCCTGCCTCTTCTCTCTTCCCAACTCGGGCAGCCTCCTGGGTTTGTGCCGCTCTGGGTGGAGTAACACTCTGACCCCGACCTGCTCCTGCTGCAGACTCAGGGGGCCGTGAGAGCACCAGGGACTCAAGCAGGACATCCCAGCCCCATGACCCAGGACCCTGGGTTCAGAGCGGGATGGAGGCTCCTCGCGGGGCACACAATGGGTTGGGGAGCTAGCTACATAGGGAGTCTCCGGACCCAGGCTTCTAGCTCCGGGCCCCAACTCCAGAGGTCCTCCAGCCTCCAGGACCCTCCACAAGGGCACCAGCTGCCGGCTGGGTTAGGAGGGGCTGAGTGCCCTGCAGTGGCCAAAGCTCCGGGTGCTAGGTGGCCACAGACGCCTGGAAGTGCCGGGTCTCCCCCCTGCCCTATCCACTGACCAGCTACCCTGGCCCTGGCACCCAGGCTGCGGAGTCCTCGCCATCCACCCCGAGCTGAGTGGCCTGTCCCGGATCGTCAGTGGGGAGGACGCTGTCCCCAGCTCCTGGCCCTGGCAGGTGTCCTTGCAGGTGAGGGGAAAGTTGAGGAGGGGCGGGTTAGACTGGGGGCGGGGCAGGCAGGAGAGGGGAAGCTGACTGTCCCTCTCCCCTCTCCCCAGACTGGCTCCTGCTTACACTTCTGCGGGGGCTCCCTCATCAACCAGCACTGGGTGCTCACTGTCGCCCACTGCAGGGTCAGGTGAGGCCCGGGCTCGGGGAACCACCCTCACTCCCTCCCCAACCCCCCTGTCCAGGCACTGCCCCCTGGCGGGAAGGGTCTGAGGCAGCCGGCGGGTGGGGAAGAAGCTGCCCCTACCTCCTAGCTACAGGCAGAGCCACCAGCTGCAGGAGAAAACCCCCACCCTTGTGCCCCCCACTGCCTCGGACCCCCGCTTGGTCCAGGAGAGCAGCTCTAGGCCTGTGCCCTCGCTGCACAGATGGGGAACCAGGCCCCTGGGTCCCCGTGGGAGTCGAGGTCCCCGTGGCTCGGCCGGGGCTTCCCTCACCGGGCGCGGTTCCCAGACACCCCTCCGAGGTGGCCAGAGCCTGAGCACCCTCTGCTACCCCCTCTCTCTCCAGGAAGAGCCACCATGTGGTGGCTGGGGTGTCTGATCATGGCTCTGATGAGGAGGCTGTCCAGGCGCTGAGGATCGCGGAGGGACCGCCAGGCGGGCAGGCTGCGGTGGGGCTGCTCCCCCCGCCCCCCTGCCCGGGAGGAGGGAGGGGCAAGGGGGGCAGGGTGTGTGGGCACAGACGATCCTGGCCAACCCGCTTGGGCCTCACCCCTGCACTTCCCGGTCCAGAGCCTTCTTTCCCAAGGAACAAAGCTCCTTTACAAATACGGAAGGTTGTTTCTGATGGTAAAATTAAGTTTTGCTCATGGTAGAAAAGCACAAAAATATAGAAACTAAATATCACCAATGTGTCAAATGCCAGTTTCCAGAGATTTTGTCTGTGCAACTCCATCTGCGCGTCTTTCTCAACGACCGTCCGCCTGGCGCTGAGCCCTCTGCGGCTCCAGGCCTCTGTCTCCCCACTTCAATCCCCCAAGTCCTCCCTCTGAGCTCTGCCCAGCCCCCACCACGTGTCCCCAGGTTTTTGAACACCTGCTGTGGGACAGGATTATGGACAGCAACGACATCGCCCTGCTGAAGCTGGCCACGCCGGCCGGCCCCGCTCTCCAGCACCGTGTCCCCCGTGTGCCTGCCCAGCGCCAGCACCAGCTTCCCCGCGGGCTCCGTCTGCGCCACCACGGGCCGCGGCAAGACCCAGTGCGGCTGTGAGCGTCCAGGCAGGGCCTTGTCAGGAGCGAGACTCGTTCTGGCTTTTGGTCCGAGTCCCAAGCACGTAAAGTGCAAGCCATAAATCTTTCTATTTCTTTATTTAAAACCCTCTTAATGAAAAACCTACCAAACATGAATAGAGATGAGCTCAAGCGCTCTGTACTTGAAGACGAACTTGCCGAGAAACACCTACGTACCAGCAAGCATCGCCCTCACGAACTTGCAGCCAGGTCCACGTTGCCCCCTTTCCAGGCCGGACTCCTCCCCGGACTGGGGGCCGGCGGCCGTGCTCCGCTGGCCCCGGGGTCCGGGCTGGGAGTCCGACGGCCAGCTGTGGTTCGGGGCCCGGGTCGGCCGGGTGTCCCCTTCCCCGGCGGCGGCCCCTCCTCCAGCGTCCCAAGCGCTTCCGCCGTGGGGCGGGCGGGCGGGGGAGGGGCCCTGACCCCCGCCGGCCTGCTGTGTCCCTGCAGCCAACAAGACCCCCGACAAGCTGCAGCCGGCGGCCCTGCCCCTCCTGTCCAACGCCGAGGGCCAGAAGTTCCGGGGCAGCAAGACCACCGATGTGATGATCTGCGCCGGCGCCAGCGGGGTCTCCCCCTGCAAGGTGCGGCCCGGCTCCGCCACCCCCGCCCGCGCTCGCCGTCCCCGCCCCGCCCCGCCCCGCCCCGCCCCGCCCCTGCTCAGGCCGGGAGCGCGGCTCCTTTCTGCGCGCGGCTCCTCCCGCTCGCTCCCGCCAGCCGGCGCGGCCAAAGCCCGGACCCGCCGAGCAGGTGCCTCGGACCCAGGGCTCGCTCTGGCCGGGGCGTGCTGCGGGGCTCCCGGGGGCCGTGGCATCCTCACGCCAGCCGCCCCGCGGCGGGGGACGGAGGGGGGAGGGGGGGCGCGGGGGGGCGGAGGTTTGCGGCCCACTGTACAGACGCTGGCCGGGTCAGAGGGTCGGCCACCTGCCCCAGCCAGGCCCTCCAGGAGTCGGTGACGGAGCTGCGGCTGCCGTGGGGCCCACATCGAAGGGTCTCCTGCTCAGTCACTGTGCTCACCCTGGTCATTTCTCTGCACAGAACCTGGGCTGGGGCAGGTCAGGGCACACTGGGGCCCTGGCACCCCGCTTCGGGCTTGGGAACAAGTCCTTTCTCCTCCTGCAGGGCGACTCTGGTGGCCCCCTGGTCTGCCAGAAAGACGGAGCCTGGACCCTGGTGGGCATCGTGTCCTGGGGCAGTAGCTAGTGCCACCCATTCTCACCAGGGGTGTACAAAAACGTCACCAAGTTCATTCCCTGGGTTCTCGAGGTTCTAGAGAACCCCCGCCCCACCCCCCACTTCTGCAGAACCCAAATAAAACCCTGAGAGCAACCACACGCCTCTTCACTTCTGTGTCCTGGCCAGGGTGCTGGGGGGCGGTGGGCAGGAAGGATGGCTGCCTTCACTGGGGTCCCTGCTGTGGAGTTTAGAGCCGAGAGGGCTGACAGGTCCTGCCCTTTCTTCGTAGAGTTAGAGAGACCGAGGCCCAAGGTCACATACACAAGAGTCAGCGCCAGGAGCCGCACCTTCCTGAGTCCCAGGGCTCTTGCCTCCCCCACAGTGCGGGACATACCCCGAGAGGCTGGGGGAGGACACACTGACTCAGGGCAAGGGCCCTCTGGGCCCCCAAACCCCAACTTGGAGGCCAAGTCTATGTGTAATTCCAGAAAAGATGCTCTGGAAGAAGTCCCACAGCTGAAATAATGAGCTCCTCTCTGAGAGCCAAGTTCTGGGCAATGTCTGTGAAAACGAGTTTCCGTGGTGCCCTCAGTGGGTTCTCTGCCCTGGAATGTAGGCCCCAGGAGAGCCCAGCGCCCTCCTGGAGCTGCTTCAGGCCACGCTGGCTTTCCACTGATCTTGCCACGGGCCGCACCCCTCCTCGGCCCTGCTGTCAGAGGATGGCTCAACTTCTCTCCAGCAGCCTGGGCTCCCAAGGTCTTGGGGCCATTGGCAGACCTGCTCCCACCTTGCAGAAGAGCCCTGGCCCAGCCCTGTGTCCCAGGACCTTGGTTTTCTCCTGAAGGGACCCACTTTTTCTTCACCCTCCCAAGAAGCCGCCCACAGCCTCAGCCCGAATCGCCTCAACCTGCAGGTCCTACCCCGTGGCATCTGAGAGCAAGACCACACCTGCCCACATCCATGAGCCCTCCTGACTCTCACATCACAGGCTTTTCATTTTTAAAATTTTATTTAAATGTAGACTATTAGTCAAATGATTGGAAAACCAATAATGAAAAATAGTGTTCTAGAGTTTTTCTCCTGGTACAGTGGTGCTTGCGCTGTGGGGGACGGGGGACCTGGCACCGCTGTGGGGCTAGGATCAGCTCAAGGGGTCCTCTGAGGCCATGTGGGTTATGGCCCAGGGCTCTCTGGGCCCCAGCCCCCCGTGTACGCAGGGAAGACCACCAGCCCACTCCTCAGCCTTGGCTCCCCGGGGGCCCAGCTCTGCTTGGGCTCTGGGCAGGCGTGGTCGCATATCCTGCCCCATCCTAACTATGTACAAATCCCTGGACAGTCTGGGGCACCAGGCCCGGACAGAGCTGGGGCGCCTGTCCCCACGCCTGCAGCATGGCGACTCTCTCGGGGCAGGTGCCCTCCTCCCCTGACCCCCATCCCTGTGGTCACCGGCTCTCAGGCAGCTGCCAGCTGGCCTAGGACCCGGCGGAACTGCTGGGTGCTGTGGCCCAGCTCCTTGACCCTGTCCACCATGTCCTGGGCAGCGGCAGGTGACGGGTACTGCAGGGCAGCGGCCTTGGTGGTGGCCACGATGCCGCGCAGGAGGTCACACAGCAGGTTGCTGTAGTGGGTCACCTGGCTGCGCACGTCGGCCGCCTTGGCCTGCCTCGACAGCGTGTCCCCGATGAACACCAGCTTGTGTGCGCTGAGGATGACGAACTTGCTGTGCGCCACGAAGATCTTGGGCGGCTGGTTGGTGGCCACGGCGCTGAAGAAGGCATCCACTGCGTTGGTCAGCGTGGTCAGGTTGGCCTCGCACTGCTCCAGGTAGAAGAGCAGCAGCTCCCGGTCCGAGGGCCCCAGGCTGCCCGTCCGCCCCGGGGCCAGTGGCCGCGCCGGCGCCCAGTTGGCCAGGTCGTGGTCTATGGGCCGGGACACCTCCTGCTCCAGTCGCTCGAACTGCTTCAGCTGCAGCAGAGGGAAAGCACAGTGAAAACCACAGCCACATTGCAGGAGGGGAGGGCGATGGCTCCCCGCGGGAGTGCACGATGCAAGCCACCTCCAGGCGACGGCCGGAGCACGCGGCCTCCGTGGCCTCCCCGAGACTCGCCAGTAACGCCTGCCAGTCTCAGGAGGTAGGGTTCCACTCTTGTAACATTTCTGAAGCCACAAGATGACAGAAACAGAGAACGGGTAGTCGCCATAGTTAGGGACATCGGTCTCTGCTTACTTAGGATGCACTCACTGTGGGAAAGGGGGTGAGGGTACACTCTCTGCACCTTCTGATGGATCTATGCATACTTTGAAATGAATTTTAAAAACCCTACATTTTGTCTTCAACCTATATGTTGCAAGAAGATTCAAACGAGCGTCTGGGTGGCTCCATCGGTTAAGCATCTAACTCTTGATTTCAGCTCAGGTCATGATCTAGAGGTCGTGGGATCGAGCCCCGCAAAGAGCTCTGCGCTCAGCACAGAGTCTGCCTGGGAGTCTGTCCCTCCTGCTGCCCCTCCCTCCACTCGCTAATTAATTAATTAATTCTTTAACCCCCCCCCCCCAATACACCAAGCAGAAAACAAGACCGCTGTCAGCTGGAATCCCGGGTACCCAGAAGTAACCTTTGGTGGAATGCAATCCTGGTCAAGTATCTTTTAGAACCAAATACTAAAGTATTTGCAGATAAAATGATGTAACAGCTCCAAAATGCTTTATGGGGCAAGGGTGTCAGATAACCGGATTAGCAATTGTGCGGAGAGGGGTTGGGGTGGGTGAACGGTACCCAGGGGCCTGCCTTCTTTAATTTTATAAAGGTATTCAATTTCCCATAATAAAAACTTTAAACAGAAGAAATGTACGGGGGTGTGCCTGGCCGGCTTAGTTGATAGAGTGTACGACTCTTGATCTCAGTTTCGAGTTTGTTTTTTTTTTTTTTAAAGATTTTATTTATGTGAGAGAGAGACAAAAGAGCATGAGCGGGGGGAGAGGGAGAAGCAGACTCTCCGCGGAGCAGGGAGCCCGACGTGAGGCTCGATCCCACAACCCTGCAATCATGACCTGAGCTGAAGGCAGACGACGCTTAACCAACTGAGCCACCCAGGCGCCCCGGGGTTGTGAGTTTGAGCCCCATACTGGGTATTTTAAATCTTAAAAAAGATGAGAATCTTAAAAAAAAAAAAAAGGTCATGGTATTTGTAAAACTTCAGAAAAAAAATTCACATAAAAAAATACTGACTATTCTTCAAGATGCTTTCCTTTAAACATGAATATTCCTGTTTGCTTTTTAACCAGCAGACTGGAAACACTACACGTGCCTGCAAAACATGCGGGTCCTGGGCACCAACCCACCGTGCGGTCGAAGTCTGCATGACTTCTGACAAAGCTGACGACTCATCAACAGCCTCAACAGCCTAGCCTGTTACCTGGAAGCCTTACCAGTAACAAACAGCTAATGAACACATATTTTATAGATTACATGTACTGAATGCTCTTTTCTCACAACACATAATTTTTTCAGTATTTCTAGGCTACATGGTTCATCTGCAAGCTTTTTCAAACTGTCTTAGTCTCCAAAATACTTTTCCAATATATTTATTGAGAAAAAAAAATCCAGGTATTAAGTGGATCCATGCAGTTCAAAACCGTGTTGTTCAACGGTCAGCTAAATACAGTGTTTTATAGCCTACTTCCGCCCCTAACAATGGGTCACGGGCTTCACGTTGGCCAGTGCGTGTAAGCGCAGGGGGAGAGGGCATCTCCATGACCAGCAGCCCCTGCCTTGGGAGTCCTCCGTGTGGACTGATGTGTCCTTCCCCAGAGCAGGTTCCGACCAGGGGCCTGAGAGGCTGGGACCAGCTGTGCACAGGCTCAGGGACAGACAGGCTGTTTTATCCAAGCTTTCAAGCCTTCATTTAATAAGCAAAACCAACATGGAACTGCCCCTTCCTCATCCCTGAAACACTCGGCAGCAACTGGGGGAGACTCACCATTTGGCTCCCTTATCCAGGGGGAGAGAGCACACTCATTTTCAGTTTGGACTCTGGGGGGTCTTTTCCATTCTTCGGCAATTCTTTTTTTTTTTTTTTTAAAGATTTTATTTATTTATTTGACAGAGAGAGACACAGCGAGAGAGGGAACACAAGCAGGGGGAGTGGGAGAGGGAGAAGCAGGCTTCCTGCCGAACAGGGAGCCCAATGTGGGGCTCGATCCCAGGACCCTGGGATCATGACCTGAGCCGAAGGCAGCCGCTTAACCAACTGAGCCACCCAGGCGCCCCCATTCTTTGGCAATTCTTAATAGCCACCTAATATTCTACTCTATTAACGTTCGTATTTTATTTATTCAACCAATATTCTCAGCAGACATGTGGGGCAGGGGGTTCCCGATTTTTCACTGATGTGGAAATGAAGCAATCAACACGCGTGTCCACACATTTTATAAGCCTGGATTGTACAGGCACTTCTGTCCCTGGTCGAGGAGTGCTAGATCTTTATAGAGTTTTCCGTGTATATTCCTGTCTCTTCTTCCAGCTTCTAGGAATTTACCTAAGTGATCAAGCAATCAGGTGAAGAGATTTATATTCAGCACAGGACTGTTTACAGAAGTACTTCTGGGAATAACCGAAATGTCCCAGCAACAGGGGACTGGATAAAGAAACGCTGGCAGAGTCCAGAGAAGATAAAAGAGGATAAAGCACATGTCCATTTCTTAAATCAGTGGAGATTCCATACGTGAGAAGGACAGATGATGGATGGATGGATGGAGATACATCTAATTATGAGCCTTTATTCCTTTACTGAGTATGTTCTGTGGGCCAGGCACCTCCTCGGTATGACACATTCTTTACTCAATTCTCCCACTGACCCTGAGATGGACCCACTATGATCCCCACCTTACTGCTGGGCAAACGGTGGCTTTGTGAGGGTCAGGGTGGAGCCAGCAAGCTCTCCTGGCCTCTGCCATCCTTCCCCGTGCGCGGGGGGGGGGGGTTGGTACGGAAAACCTGACGGGTGGTATTTCTGTGCTGATTTTGT